GGGGGGCCGACGGGGCCGGGGCGGCCGCCGCCGGTGGGGGTTGGTGGGGTGGGGGAGCGGGGTCACGGGAGCTAGCCTTGTCATGTGGATGTCACGGCAAATTCAGGTGAAGGTGAGTGCGGGTTGATTAAAGGAAATGGCAGGGGGGTTTGTGTAAAAGTGCGTGTGCTGACCGGTCCAGCCACCTGGCTGCCAATTGTCGAGCTGTGATTGGTCTGGGACTAAATCATCACATGAGGTGCAAGTTGGGATATGGTGGAGTCAAGTTTTATAAGTTTGAGACTAAATCGTCACATTCTGTGCAAGTTAGGTACCTGAGTGCTATTACCTCTTTCTCTTTCAAAATTCGTCTGCTCCTCGAGAGAGAGACCTCGACGGCTCGCCGTCTAATTTGGTTGTGTGCTCTTCAGCCCTTTATCCTTTTTTTTGCGAGTTTTGGCCCTTTATCCTAATTTAGCCACTCCCAGAACCTCTGTGTAATGAGACATGGTACAGTACGTGCTTTTGCACATCAGCAGATGAGAAATACGGCAAAAGAAACAAGACAACTCACTTTTATAGATTGATGTAAAAAAACTCAATTTAGGGCATCTCCAACGGTAATCCGCAAAAAATCTCCTGCGTCCATCCGCGGACAGGGGAACCAGTCCGCGGATGCGGGAAGCAGCCATCCAATGCTAACCCCATACATTTCAATTTTTTTTCCAACAAACCGAATGAAATTCATGCAAACACGGATGGATTTCGTACAAACATAACAGGTTTCATACAAACACGACAGATTTAACTACATTTCAAACATTTAGAACCAAAAAAGACCCACCCCTAAACCTATCCTACGGTGGGGGCACCCGGCGTCCAAGCCCGTGTCGTCCTCCTTCCCTGTCTCCATGAGCACCGGCAATAAGACCGATGAAGTGAAGGTGTGATCTCCGACGAGGAAGAGTAGAACACGGGAGATGGACCAACCCACATGGGACACAAGGCACCGCCGCCTCCCGTGGCCTACTCATCCTCGGAGGAGTCCGTGACCTATCCGTCGCCGGTGGACGTGAGGTCCGCGATGGAAATGGTGCCGCCGGCGATGTCTTCGTCCCATCGGGGCGGCTGATGGATCATCGACGGCGTGTAGGAGGCGCAGCTGGCTATGTTCTCCTCCACGATCCCCTGCGGCTGCGCCTCCGCAGTTGTCGCTTCCTGTCGAGCGGCGGCTTGAGCGCATGCAACATCGTAGATGGCACGCTGCTCCACGACAAAATTTGGGTTCGCCGTGTCCATGGCCGCCACGGCCTCCTCGCTTGTGCGCTCGCCGTAGATCTGGCCCTCCGCCCGCCGGTGCTGCTCGAGGAGGAACAAGTTGTATCGTTGTTCCTCCTGCGCCTGCTGGAACGCCGACAAAGGCGTCGGCACAGGCTGCGCCTCCGTCATGGCGGTGTTTAACTGCGCATGCGCCTGCTCCATGGTGAAGCCGGCGTGCACAGGAGGCCCAGGAGCCGGTGCGGAGTCGTCGGACACTGTCTCTATCGTGGTGTCGTCCTCGTCGTCGGAGACCTCGGGCGAGCTGGCCGGCAAGCCGACCTCGGTCCGCCTCACACGGCGGTGGTAAGGGCGGCCACCGCGTGCTTCATCTCCGTCGACAGACTATCCCATAGTGTTTTCCCGCTGGCGGTCATGACGGATGCAGTGTAAGGAAGGAGGATGTGGAGGGGCTGGTGTTGTGTTGTGGTGTTAGACGACTGTGGCCGCCTTTATATAGCGGATTCCGGTGACGCCAGGCGTCGGGTGCGTCAATGCACGGCGCCGGAGTGGGTTTCTCTGTCGGCGAGCCTGCTTAATGGCGGCAGACGGACGAACAACGGCATTGAACGAGCACGGTACATATCCATCCCGTCCCGTCTAGTCACACATCTCCGACATTGAACATGCGCGGACACCGAAGACGCGTCGCAGGCGACACCCTCGGCCGGCACACCGCTTCAATGGCGGAGACAGTGAGAGGTCATGTCCGTCCTGAGCCGTCTTCAATGTTGACCGGCGCGCTCTACAGCGGCATGAACGCGGGCAGCTGTCACCGGGAGGGAGCGAGCGAGGGAGGGGGAGGGGTTTTTGGTGGGTCAGGGCCGGAGCGCGCGGGAAAGGGGGAGGGGGAGGGCTTTATTATTGGATAAAGACACACAAAAAATGTCAATGTAACTTCATATAAAGGTGAAATGTTTTTGTTCTAGGTGCAAACCGGTACTTTTAAGAACTGCCTTATTTTTTTACTTTGTATTTAAATTTTGTTTGAAGTCCTACTTTATAAAGTTTGATTACTTTTATGCAAAAAATATCAATATCCACAATATGAAATCAGTATCATTAGATACATCACGAAATTAATTTTTATCCATGTAACTTTAGTGTTCTATAGATCTTGATATTTTTTTTGAAGCTCTAGCGCAGCTGAGCTGGTCATCATAAAAAGAACACCAATTCGTCATTTACCACTTGGCAGCTTGCGGAGGGCAATACCGTAGACATATACAGATAGGAGGTGTAAACTGCAAATAAACCAAATCCTCGGCCAAAAACGGCACGTTTGGACGGCGGCCGCGAGGTCAAACACAAGCCACGGTCAGGACCCAACGAACACGAGGTTCATCTGGCCGAACGAACCTTTCGGTGGCGGAGGCACAACCGCACGAACACGAACTCTCTCCTGGCTTGATTCCTGCCGCTCTTTGTACCTAAGTAGGGATTTTGAGTTGCGCTTTTCTAGCCGGCTTGACCAACGCGCCCGTGATACGGTGGGCGAGACGATGATGGTATCGGCTGGGTCCAAACCATAGACAAAGCTTCATTTTTTTTAATTTTATTTTTTGAGAATCTGGGCAAAGCTTCATTTTTTTAGGAGTTCTGGACAAAGCTTCATTTTTCTTAGAAGTTTGGACAATTTTTTTTTGAGGGGGAAACCAAGTTTTATTCATCAAAAACCACAAACTGTGGGATACATCTTGGATCAAGAGGTTGGCCAAACCAAACGTGACGTCCCGGACCCAGAGAAAGCGATGACTTGGCTAGACTATGTGCCTCCATATTGGATGCACGAGACTCAAAAATGAAATTACATTGGAAAGAGTTTGCTAGGATGACTTGGCTCCACTGCTGCCCCTACATCCCATATTGATGTCACTGATAACTTGCTTGGAATCGGATGAAATCACAAAATTCTGTAGTTGGAGATCTGCCGCTAGTGCCAAACCCTCTTGGCATGCGATCGCTTCCAGAGATTCAGGGTCGTCCAGACCTGCAATCACCAGGGACGAGCTGCCAAGATACACGCCGGTTTCATCTCTGCAGACCGCCGCCGCTGTCCCCCTACTACCCCTGCGGACACAAGCATCCACATTAATCTTTGCGTGGCCTTGAGGAGGAGCTATCGGCCTTCCGCTCCTGGTCGCTACACCAGCACCAGTCACTTGGGATGGTTTGACCTTCGGCATATCTAGTTCGTCAATGAATCTGGTGATGAAACTGTGAGTAGAGTGAGGACTTTGAAAGATCCCTTCATGAATCGCCTTCCGTCTCGCTGCCCAGATCGCCCGAAGCGTAACCGAGAGCTTCACAAAGAGCTCGTGTGACATTGACTCCATCAAAGTGAACAACCATTGTTTAGCATTAGGTTCGGTTGTAGCTGCAAGGTTTTCCGTGAGCTCCACATCCATCAGTGACCAGATGCATCTGGATATTGAGCACTCTAGTAAGGAGTGTCTCCATGAATCGTGTGCACCACAGATGCCGCAGGCACTTGAGTCGCTCATATGTCTGTGTGCCCTCACGTCGTTGGTAGGGACCGAGTGTTTGGACAATCGCCAGAGAAACATCCTCACCTTGCCCGGCACTTGAGTTTGCCAAAGCTTCTTCCAGGCTCCCTCCTCTCTGGACGTGCTGGAAGGTCCCGCCGTGCTTTCCAACCATGCCTCTCTTCTAGTTCTTGTCGCCACCAACATACGGTAGGCTGATTTAACAGAGAAATTTCCATTCTTTTCGTAGTGCCAGCTCCAGAAATCCGGAACATTCATGGTACACAGCGGAATTGCCATGATTACCCGAACGTCCATTGGCACAAAAACTTCCGACACCCTCTGTCTGTCCCATTGGGATGACGTGGCATCTATGAGCTCTGAGACAAGTTCCGGTGGGTTCTGTGAGATGCACCCATACGGTCTCATCATTTCCTCGCGTGGCAGCCAGTTCTCTTCCCAGATTCTTGTCGTTCCCCCATTGCCTATTCTTTTGATCAAACCCAGCTTAAGGGTATCCCGCCCCTCGATCAAGCTCCTCCATATTTGGCTTGGATGATTCCCCAAATTAGCATCAAGAACCAAAGTGTTTGGATAGTAAATGCTTTTCAGCAGGCGAGCACTTAGGGAGTCAGGGAATTGCAGCAGACGACATGCCTGCTTGACCAGCATTGCCATATTGAATAGCTCGAAATCCTTAAACCCCAAACCCCCCATACCTTTGGGTTGTGTCATAGTCTTCCATGAGACCCAGTGTGGCTTGCGCTTACCATCTTTACTTTCCCACCAGAATTTCCTTATAAGCATGTTGAGATGCTCACATAAACCCCGAGGAAGCTTAAAGCATGACATTGAGAAAACCGGGACCGCATGTGCCTGTGCCAGAGACTCGACAAGTATCTCCTTTCCTGCTGAAGACAGGGTATTTTCAATCCAACCTTGAACTTTGGCCCATAAACTATGACAAAAAGAGTTTAGCGGCCCACAAGCTCTCCGTTGGTGGCAACTGAGCCCACATCGTTTACCAGCCGCATGGGCCGCAAAGGCGACAGGCCATCGATTTTTCCCCTTCTCTCCGCCGGCGACGGTCTCCCGGCCGGATCCAGCGCAGCCACCCTCCCCCCTCGGATCCAGCGACGCCGCCTGGCCTCCCCCCGGTCCCGCCACCGCAAGACTTCTCTCGGTCCAGCGACCTCTTGAGCGACCTTGAGCGCAGAGATGCGGGGTGTCGGAGGCCCACTGCTCACTGTCAGCGATCTCTTGAGCGACCTCACCGTCGAAGGAGGCGACGACCACCTCGACGGCGGAGGCGACGCGTCTGCCCCCTCCTCCCCCTTGGAAGCGCATCAGGTGGAGGAAGCCGAGCCCTCCGAGCTCCAGCGGCTCTTCGCGGTGAGGGCTCCCTTCGTCCCCTTGTTCCTGATTTTTTTTTTCAGCATAAAATTGATTCTCCCGTCATATCGTTGCTTGCTCCTTCGAATTTGTGTTCCGAACCATGCGTCCATCAGCCGTTCTGTTTCCATGAATTGTCATGAACTACTCAATTGCGTTCTACATGAAGGATCTTGCTGCCCATAGATTCATGATAGTGTACACAAAAAGTGTGCAATGTTGGATATTGGGGTTAATTAAGATGGTCTCATCTAACTTCACCCATCGTCACCAGCTTAACAGATTGCAGAGTTGCTGATGTTCTTGCTCATGTTTGCTGTTTGCTTCATCTTCGAAACCAATGTTTAATACTACTAATGAAAGAGTCCACCAAGAGGCCAGCAAAGGCGTTTTGTTCATCAATTTAATGTGGGGTGCTACTCTGTTAGTTATTAAAATATAAGATGTTTTTGTATGGGGGTAATATCTGAGATGAAGACATACATGTAATTCATTTGTGCATTCATCATCAATCAGGAAGACTATGACAATTTGATGAAGTCGCTACAGGAGAATGACCCTTCGTGGCCTTCCCTGATGCTGAAGGTGTGATTCTTCCCTTCCTTTTTGTTTACAACGGACGTAACCTGTGGTTATTTACTACAATTCGTTGCTGGATGCAAACTAACATTTTGCTCCCCAATCTCTGTACCTCAAACTCTAGTTGTGCAGGGCGTTGAAGACTTCAGATAAGCTGCTGAGCTACGCGAATATGAAAGCAGAGCAGCTGCTAGAGAAGGTGGAGAAACTGGAGCATGTCTTAGAGAGGGGAGATCGTGAGGTGGGATCAATTATAGAGGTTCTTCAGAGCATGCAGCTCACCGAGGATCATCAGATCTCCAAAACGAACCCACCCAGCAAGTAGTGAGCTGTGGTGGCGTAGATGTTGTGTTTGATTATCCAAATCAGGAGGCATGCCTTTCCTGCCAGCATTCTAGCACAAATCCAGTTACTAGTTCCTTTGTTTCCTGAACTGAACGAAAAGCCTGAGAAGTGTTGTGGCAGTCCGTTGGATAATACTAAAGACGTGCATGTTTTCTAAAGATGGACAGACAAATATTTGTAGGAATTTAAGCCTCAATGATTTAGAAGAATTTCATAGAAATTTTGGGAGATTCTATTTCGTAGGATTTTTTCTGCGAGAGCTTGTTGGTTTGTAGGATTGAGAACTATATATGAATTTTTATGGTCTAGTTTGTATGTACTCCACTACGAGTAATTAAGAAAAAATATTACCAATCTCACAAAAATTCTTCCCTATTTTTATGACAACTATGCAATGCACCTAGTCTTTCAGAAATGTATATTTTTCTATAGTGCAACCAAGCAACTTACATTTCAATTCTACTGGTTTTATATTTCTATTTTTTTTAGAATTGTAAGAAACAAGAAGGCCCTGCATATGAACTAAGTGGTGTCAGCTCTCTTTCGCATAACATATGAAATCAAGTGTTATCTTGCATTAAAAAATGAAGAAGTTCGCGGTCTTGTCCAGTTTGACATTTGTAGAAGGCTGAGAGAAAATCAACGGCAGAATGCCGAATACGCTAGAATCAGTTTAATTCTCACGGTGAATGCAGTGATAGTAGTGTTCGAAACACGATAGCTAGTAAATTTGCATAAAATGGGGCACCATGCTCTTGTGATTCAGAGTTTCATACACATAATGGCACCCTGCACGTTTCAGCACACCCAGACAGTCTGACTTGCTCAAGGCGCAGGAGCTTAAACGGTGCGGCACTTAGGCCTTCTTGGCCACAAGGCGCAGGAGCTTAAACGGTGCGGTACTTAGGCCTTCTTGGCCAGATACGTGCCTAGTTAACAAAATGCACTAGGATGGCAAAGTTCTGAAGGAGTCCATCTACATCTGGCCATCTTGGCAAAGGTTACCTCGCGCATAAAGCCTCTGCGTGCAGATGCAAATCCTGATGGTTCCCAGTCCTAGGAAGTATGTGGATTTCGAAGATGGTGAAAAAACAATTCTAACTAAGTGCAGAATGTGTGTACATTGAATATGCAATATGCTGAAAATGAACCTAGCAACGACTACGCTCTACTCCTTGGTCAACGCACAATGGTTTCTTAGGGGTATTGCTCCACCTCTCTTCTCACACTTAAATAGGAACTTGTGTGGTGCAACATCCATGTGATGGATGCTTTCATGCAATTCAACAATGCCATATGAGCACATGGGCACTTATGTATTATCGTGAGTGTCCTGTGCAAAGTAGCCCCCCGGTTATTAATACTACTCGTACAGTTCATGTCCATAGTGTAGTTCTTCTTGGTGACCACATTTGAGAAAACCCTTGCGTTTGGTGGGAGCAATTGAAGATTGGCTCCAGAGCACACACAGCTCACCGAGGGCGAGGATTACTAAACCCCCAAATTGAAACCATCTAGCAAGTAGTGGGTTATGCTGGCATAGACACTGTGTTTGATTATGCTAATCAGGAGTCCTACCTTTCCTTCTAGTATTCTCGTACATTTCCATTTACTAGTTACTTGGTAGGCTGCTTCAAGGGATCACCTCAAAATTCTGAAAAAATGCGATGTTATATGCTTGCTTATACGATGTTAGAACAGTACTCAGAAACAAGGAGACCCTCAATATGAATTCAGTGGTGCTGGTTTTCTTTCGCTTAACGTACGAATTCAAGTGTTAATCTTGCATCAAAAAAAATGAAAAGGTGTTGCAGTCTTGTTCAGGTTGATGTTTGCACTAGTGCAGAACCGGCCTTTAGTGCCGGTTCGTAACGGCC